GTAGGTTTAGAATACAACTTTGCATGAAAGAATATATTGGTTTCATTGAGGTTTCTTTTATTTTCAGATGTGACATTTTTTTTTTATAATTAATGTGGCAAAATAATCTTTTTGTGTGTAGGAACTGAAAATACAATCACAGTGGTTTCCTATGAAACTCAGAACTCCACATACTCACCAAGTAACCATAGCATCGAAAACAGCTCTATGAAAGACACCCACACAGAAACCTACACAGGTAATTCTATATCCTGACTTTCTGGAAAAATCTGGCTTGATGCTGGCTACAGTTATTGACTCCTTTGGTAAAGATGTGTAAACAGCCTTAAAATAAATGAATCTGGGTCATTTGTCCATATCGCCATCAAATGTGGAAAATACCCAGGAGAAGGTCTGTCGCCTACTGGTGTTGTACATAGGCCCTCAGCTAAATAATCAGCAAGACTGGCTATGGATACTAACTCAGAAATAGGCCAACCTCCTCTACATGGATTGAGTTGAGCTGTATGCTAAGAGTGAGCGAGACATTGATTCACTGGTTCACACCACCAGTAGGAACATCAGAATACCATTTGGGCTGGAGAAATGTGGCCACATGGTGACTAAAAAGAGGATCAGATAATCCACAGAGAGGGAATTGCACCCCCAGAAAGGAGAATAGTAAATTTTGAGGAAAAATAAAGCCTTGGAATACCTGCAATGAGTAAGGTGAGTTCTGAGGACTCTGCTCAATGACAAGAAGGAGGTCTGTGAAGATGACACCTGTGTCTAATCAGATACCCTGCTAGGGTAATAAATTGATCAAGCACACAAGCTTCTTACCATTCATGGTGGATTCCACCCCAGATCCAGTATCCACAAGCTGTAAGCACACAGAAGGAGGCAGAGGTCTCACGAGCATCAGAGATTAAATATCCAAGCTCCCAGAGTACCATCAGGATGATGGCTCCAAGGGATGAAGCACTCGGACAATAGAAAATGGAAGAGAAAGAGGTGAAGGAACCATCATGGGAGGATAAACCCCTTCATGGAACGTACCTCCAACAGACAACTGAAGTGGCCAATATGACAAAATCCTACCAATGGCTGGAGAGGGTTGGACTGAAGACAAGGCATGGATTTAATCGGTTCAGGTCAGATTTGTTTCCATTTGCAGATCCTGTGTGGATCCTCCCTGTGTTTTGGAACCACCTCAGGCATGGTTACAAGCTGGTGATTTGATCGGCAGCAGACTGCATTTGTTGATTGGCTTGTAGCGTGACATCATTGGATGAATGAAAGTGGTACTTGCAAACCACCATTTTCTTTTTTAAAGGCTGCTCAAATTGAGAAAGACAGTTTGTGCGCACGTGTTCCTCAATTTGGCTAGAACCAAACCAGACATTAATCGGCTAGAGGGAGACTTAACAATGGAGAAGGAACTGAAGTAGCTGCTATACTGCACAGAAACATCTGTGCAAAGTACAAACTGGAGAAGCCTACAACAGCGTGGACTGACTGATCTAATAGGATTTCTACATTCTAATGAACCAAGTGGCAGGGCTTCATGTCTTTTGTGTGCAAGACTTTTTATACTTGTGCTTGCATTTTCAGTTTGAAAGCTGGACTTCATGTCTGTCTTCTCAAAACTTGTAATTACTGAACTCAAAACTTCTGCTCGCTCTCAAATGCTCACTGTGCTTTCTCAAACCTTTCTCCTCACCCTCAAAACTTGTCTCTGCTCGCTTGGCTTGAGACGAAGAGCCACTCGCCCCGCCCGGGAAGTCGAGGGTGGGTGGCTGCATCTTGTCTGCCTAACAGCGAGTGGCAGAATATGTGGTGGCAGGATGAGCTTTAATCTAGCTGGGTGGCCTGTGTGTGACATAACACTTAACATTAGGTCATTGTTGTTCATTATTGGAAACAAAAGGCTGGAGATTGCTCAACAGAAGTTCCCACAAACTTTGATCAACTCAAAAAAAGAAACTTTTCTTCACAGAAAATAAATGTACTCAAATGCATTTGACGATTTCTGAAAAATTGAGCGCAACTTTATGGTGATGCAGTTTATTTTAAGGCTTGTTCCACATCTTCATCAGGGGACAGAACAACATTATGGTTTAAATAAATGTAATTTAATGTAAAAAAATAAATAAATCTATAATTCAGAATCCATTATATTGCAAAAATCAACATGATGATATTTCCACTATAACAATTTCTGACAGTAAGGATGATAGAACAAGTGTTTTAACTGAGTATGTTTGTTTCTCTCTCTGTTTCCTGTTAGCAGCAGACGCTAAAACAATTGGCGTCACTTTATCTGTGGTGATCCTCTTGGTTTCCATGAGTGGCATCATCTTTGTACTATATCGAAGGTAAGCTGGAAAAAGAGTACTGGTATTAAACAGAGATCTCAAAGATTCGTGCTGACAAAAAAGTCCCTTTTTGTTTTTCTGCCTTAGGAGAAAAAGACAGATTCCCCGTCAGGAAACAGAGGAGATGCAGCCAATGAACAACCCCTCCATGTTGTAAAATTTCTACAGAGTTTTTCCAGAGGAACTGCAAAAAAGAGGAAGGAAGAACGAGCAGCCTGTATTTAAAAATGAATGTAGCCACTGTGATATCACCCTGATGTTTGTGAAATGCTGTGTTGAAGCCTGGAGTCTGTCATCTTGTCTACTTTATTTAAACACAGAGGGCAGATTATCTGTAAATACTTTATCTTCAGCTAAGATTTATTCAACATATTCTGCTGGATGTTAAATCTCCAAAATGAATGGAGGAGACTGGGGTAAATTTGAGCCAAAGGGTAAGTTGAGTCATCAGTTGTTTCTAGGAAACTAAAAAAAACCCCCAAAAAAACCATTGATCATGTGACTAAATATGAGGAAGGCATTTTTTAATGAAGTTTATGACTGTAAGAACCTCATGAGGAAGTGACTACACCTTTATTTCTCTTTACCTACCGACGTTAAAATTACTCTAATCACTCCAGGGTGGAGCCGTAGCGTCGGCGCTAACACGGTAATAAGCGGGATAAAAACAGTTTTTCCCACATGAAAGTGAATTTAGTCTATCATGAGTTTCATAAAAATTGTGTTTAGACCAAAACAAATATTTTTACTTTTGATTTTTACATCAATCGAGCAACAATATGAAGTCATAAATCAAAGATAATTTCAGATCAAGTTCAAATGCTAACTTTGGGGTAGCATTTCAACTGCTGGTTGAGATGCTACCATCGAACCATGGATTTGAAACAAGAATCCAGTTCTAGTGCCTTTTTTTGCTCCAAATTTTAATGTTCACTTTCCAAGCACGCTTGAAAGCATTCTGTTTTCTTTTCTTTCTTTTTTTTTTTTTTTTTACTAAACAGCACGTTATCTGTTGTATCTGTTGAATTGTGTACAACTACAGCCAAACTTACCCTGCACCTATGCTTGTTTTACCTCACACACGGGGTAAGTTGAGCCATGAGAACTTTTAAAAAAATAAATTCTATAATATCTAAATATTTTACACTATTTCCAATTATTTTAAGGGATGAGTAACATCCTTAAATATATGTAAATATATAGGTTAAAGCTAATATATCTGCGTTGATGTATTAGCTAAACATGAAAAATGTCTCTTCTTACCTCAGTCTCTCCAAAGTACACAAATCAAAACCATAACTACCCATTAGAACTCTATTATCTTCTTATAGGAAAAAATGTTAAGTTTGATTGTGTGTGTGACAAATAGTAGATGGTTTTATACAATGTTCAAACGTAGGATCTCAATCCGTGTGATTTTAGTGATATAAAAGAAACTTTGATGCTGCTAATCCATCGGGCCAGCCAGAGACAGCCCAAGATCGTATGGGGCCCTGATCAGAATTTGATTTGGACACCCTCTAATAAATAAATTTTATGGATTTTGTTGTTGTTAGGTTTATTATGAAGGGAACAAAATAATTTTCTCAATTCTCATGTTATTCACATCATATTTATTCCATTGCACAAAAGGAAGTAAGCTGTTATCTCACTGACCTGCAGGTACAATGTGCATGAAATGTAACTCCTGCATAAAAACAGCAGTTGAGAGCTTCCCCACAGCATGACGCCTCCACTGTCTTGTTTCACCACAATTAAAAAAAAACAACTTCTATCTTGGTCTGGCTTTGTTATTAATGTGCGCTAAACACGTAAGTTCAAGTGTGTGTGGAGAAAGATGAAGGCAAACAACATTATTGAAATTTAAAACAAACAAAAAAAAATCACTGGCCCTTTAAATCGTCAGTGCCAAATTCAATTCCCAAAGTGAAATGAAATGTTGCCAAAACTCACATATCATCCAAGTATCTTCAAAGAGTCATGGTGGATGGTGATGCAGTGGGTAAGGAAGGGTCTCCAATAGCAGTCAGTACTGCAGTGACTCTCAACAGCTCTCTTCTGCCTTAGGCCTCCTCTATGGCCAGCACAGTGCTTAATCGATGTATATTTTATAATGTTTAGTCTTTTTTGATTTCAGTATTTTTATTCTTTTCAATCAAATCACTAATATCAATGGTGTGCTTTAGTAGGCATGCACGGTTTCACTCTTTAGCCTTAATCTATAGCCTTAATCTTACGTGATGCCTCATAACTACTTCGTTGTAATGTATCAGTGAGATGCACTCTTTAGAACACTTTCATTTGTTGTGACCCTGTACATATTCTTATCGATTGCTAGACCTAAACATTCATGAAATATCAGAAAGTTGGCAATCATTTTGATATTGTTTATACTTTCTAGACTGTCATGTATTTTGAAATTAACTGGATTTAATAAACAACAAAATATTTACGTCTCATTATTATGGCATCCACTGCAGGGGTCCAACTCTGCGGTGGACCCCTGCAGAGTTAGGGTTGGTCTCTTACGATTTTTAGATCTGTCTATGCACAGACTTAAATAATTAGGTCATAAAAATTGTAAAACTTGCTTGCATTCTGATGAGGCAATCCAACTATTAGTTTCAGGTGTGACATACCAGGGATACATCTAATAGTTGGAATGCTGAAGTCTGAGTGACTCTTAGCTTTAGATGGTTAGCGGCTAGCTAGTCAAAAGAACTAGATGCTAGCTGTTAGAGTTTTGAACTAGCCAAAACTGACAATGTTGTTTTACACTTAAGTCACAAACTAGTATTTTATTGGGATTGTATGTGCTGGACCAATATTAACTAGTTCCTATTTATGAAAGTGGAAGGAAATGATACGTGGCTGTAAAAGAAAATGATTTTGCAGCCTTTAGCAGGTTTTCTTGCAGGATTCCAGCTTTAGGTTGCATCCATCTTCCCAGTAGCTATGCCTCTGTCCCTGTTGAAGAAAAGCCACAGCCATGTTTCACCGTGGCAATGTTACGTTTAGGGTAATAAGTCTAGTTTTCTGCCACACTTAGGGTTAGGTTTGCGCTCAGACCAAACTGTTTAATTTAGTTCTCTTGGGACCAGAGCATTTCCTTCTTCTGTTTGCTGAGTAAAATTTCATTTGATTTAGCTGCCATTGTTTTGTCAGACGATGAAGAATGACCTTCATCTGCCAACTTTATGAAAATCTCTAATTGATGGGTGCCTGCATGTTTACATGCAACTAATGAAGTTTACATCCTCCTGTCTTTGGAGGATGTAAACTTCCTCCCCAAACAGGATGTAATTCTTATCTGAGCTCTGACACATTTATGCAAGTTCCCAGCACTAATTTCAAAGATGAACTGCTTCGGATGATTATTTTGGAATTTTTGAGTATGTTACAGTGAGATTGTTTATTCCTATGTAAACTCTAGCAGGCGCTTTCCTTATAGCCCAACTCTAAAGTAAACAAATGAGTGGTGGAGTGTCGCCTGGATGTGTCAGCAGACCATAACGGAGCCAGAATAGAAACACATCGCCACACTTCAGTTAGTTTAGAACACATAGTTAATCTGGCATTCTGTTTTCGAAGTAACAGCAGAAGCTGGAGTAACCCCGTGCATACAGACCTCACATAGAGCCGAACCTTCTGGGAGGAGATTACAGGAACCTCTGTTCTACTATGAAGCCCATTCATTTGTAAAAGTGTCACAGTTCTACACATAAGTTGCTAAATTAAATATTGTATTTAATGTAATTATTAAAATCTAAATTGAGATGCACTAATTAAGCAAGTAAATGCTGCAATGATCCAGAATGAGTCACTTAATTTATTTTCTATTGGGTCTTTAAAAACACGTACACTGCCTATTTTAAAAGTTCAAACACCAAATATACCTTAAAATACCTTAATAGTAGAAACCGTCTTAGCACTGCCATAGAGGAAAACATCCAGTCTTTCATATCTTTGCTCTTGGGGGTACAGCCAATCAGAAGCCACGGAAAATGTATGGCGGTCTTCGATTGGCTGCTTTGCAATCAAATATTTGCATATTTGGAGGGCATATGGTCTTCAATAAAAACCTGTGACAGGTATTATTATAGATTAACAGACTTTTTGTTTGTTTATTTGGGTCCCCATTAGCCATTGCTGTGACAACTACTGTTGCAAGCTACTGTTACTGCTAATGACTTCATAATGACCTTTACAAAAAAGTGGTACACAATTCTCATATGTTTGTTGATTTTGTTTTCATTTTCATGTTTTTCATTTGTTCAAAGATGCTTAATGTTGCTCCAGCAGTGAACAACAGCATGTAAAATGGTGTTTTTCTATATATTTTTTTGTCCGCAATAGTAAAATAATTCCACTGTCTAGTTTTTTTTTGTTTTTTTGTTTTTTACCCCAACTCCTTTAGCCTTTGTTCAAACATCTGTCTGCCAAATTTGAGATGGCGGTACAATGGAATGGACCAGGAGATAAATCTTTTTCTCCAGAAAACATGATGCCTTTGTAATTCTCATATCTGTTAACATGCTTCTTTACATGTTCTTAGAATTTTATTATGATCATTTTTCATGAGTGATGCTTTAGGTGACCCCCCGGATTCAATCCGGGATAGTGTGCGCCCATAATTCCATAATTCTCGCACTCCTTTTCATTAACCAGTGTTGAACTTGTACATCTGGAGCGCTCTTAACACGCTGCACCGAACACCTTGTTTGAATTAAATATGCGCAGACATTACTGAGTAAGTTGTTCTTTTGAAGTTGGTGAAGTCTAATTGAAACATGATGCGATACCAGAGAGGTTTGCAGAACTTCAGAAAGGGAAGAGATGAAAACGTCCTCAGAGTATTAACAACATGACTGTTTGATGGCTGCAAAATGTTGCAAACATGCTTTGGCCACAACCTCTGTCGAACTTTTTTACAGCTCCTCTTCCCCATGACCTGTTGATGAATTGGCAGATTGTTGCTTGGGAACCAGATGCTCTAAAATA